TTTGAACTCAACTCTAAACTGTTATACCTGATTCAATTCCTTCTTCAGTATCACAGTATTCACTATAGCAAAGGTTTGTGTGATCACATCTAGTTGCCTTAGTTCACCTGTCTTCTTTCTTTCAGGAAATCCCTTAGGAACCGATCTTGATACAAGAGATATGAGACTCCCACTTGGCAGTTCATGATCCTGTTCACCTCAAGTGAACACATCTATTCACACATCCATGTCACTTTGTTTTTCTTATTTCTTTGACAACATCACACAAAAATTGAAAGTATCACATAAAACATTGCTAATTAACTTAAATTATTAAAAGTAAGCCAACACAACTTAATCCTTATTAGGGAATGCAAATAAATAACTTACAAAATGTGTCATCATGCACTTAATAGTCGTCATATCAGATATGTCTTCAATCAAAGAATCACTACTAAAATCAAAATTAATTTAAAAAATGTGTCAACAGTTTATTCACAGTCAGAAGAAGAAGTGTGTTTGTTGGAGTCCTCTTCTCTTGCATGACCATTTCAATGTCTTTAATAAGGCTAAAGAACTACTGTACAATACATTTGTCAATATGAGGAAGGAATATTATTTATGGAATGAACTTGAGTCTTTCTTCCCATTTTCACTGGAAAGCAATGAGCATTCCATTTACTACAATGTAAAGGCCTGGAGAGGGGTCACCACTGTTAAACTGGGCTGATGGTAAAGGAGATCTTCTGTTTGACTTCTGAGCAACAATAATGGCTGTACATTTATGATTTGTCTTTTCAGTTGCTGTTAGAAGTTAAATAACATTATTTATTTAAGGCAAACACGTGGAGTAAACAGAACAAAACAATCCTGACAAAGCTTTAGCCAGAGAAATCCCAGCTGTTTTTTTTTTTTTTTATAATAGTGGTCTGTAGTTTGGCAACAAAATTAGATCTGTGACTGTTCAGGTTTAATCACCCTCTGACTGATTTGACACAAAGTTGTAGCATTGTTCTCTTTCTCAGGACAAAGCCCTTCACTGCATTTGGTATGAAAATGTTAAACTCACCGTGAGTCCGTTGATACAGTTTTCAATCAAAGTTTCACTCTGATTCCATGAAACTCACTTGAACCAGAGTTTGACCTAGGAAAGAAGTTGCAACAGAGTTGCAACAGAGTTGCAACAGGGGAGGAGGCAAATTAACATACCTTAAAAGTTTTCAGTTATACCTCTGGCTATGAGTCATAATACTCATTCTAAATCTCCATCCAAAAATGATTGTAATACTGATAGAATATTGGAGAAATAACAGAAATTGTGTTGAAAAAAACTTGTTCCAACTAAAGTGGCATTTTAAATTTTTATTGTTGGCACCAGGTTTGGGTGATGACATCTCAGCTATCTGTTGATGAACTGGCACACAGCCAGGGTTCATGGGCCAGGGTTCATGGATCAGTGAGCAGAACAAGTAGTTTTGCAACTGATGATGAAGAGAAAGCTGTAAAATAATTTTTGATCAGACTAGAGCTGGAAGATATGGTTAAAATTTTATCAAGTAAAAATGTCACATTATTTATTTCTGTCAAGTTTAAAGATTTTGCTCCTGAGTCAAGCAACCAATCAAATTTTTATTGATCATAGGGCTTAACAAGGTGTGACTATACCTCTGCCCTTAACTTTCGAGAGTGAGGAGAAACTACAAAAAAAACTTTTAACTGGGAAAACACGTCATAGAGAACCGCAAGTGTGGGCAGACAGGAGTGCAACAGATGCTGCATGTGATGTAGCAACTCAACAGGACAGAACTGAGGCATTTCCAATTAAAAGCTTTATCAAAAAGGAAGATTAACATATTTTTCTGCATCTGTTCTAGTCAGGACCTATCTGATTTTTGCAATGTTATGTTGGTGGAAAAAAAAAAAAAAAAAAAGGCAGTCCTTGAAAAATATTAATGATGAAGTGACTCTTCGACCCAATGAATTGGTCTTTAAACATCACCATGTGGATCAACATCTACTGATCCTTGCATGTCTATGTTTACACATTGTACGTATATCTGCAGGTTAATCCTTACCATCACTCGTGTCTCATTGGTTGTCAGGTGCACACATTACTTCCTAGAATCAGCATGTTTGATGATTAAACCATATCCACGCACCAACCCACTGACTGGGAGTTCAGTGCCAAAGCCGAGATTCAACGTTAATGTTCTAACCATAAATTACGCAAGTGGTCAAGATGTTGCACAACCAATTGTGCACTTCACACACACACACACACACACACACACACACACTCATTTTAGCACTGCCAGAGACCAGTTACTATCACTTTGTTCAGATGTGTGAATATTTGGTTTCAGTGTAATTGTCTATCAGCTGTTTACAGTTCAGTGGACAGATCAAATGTTTCACCATTGTGTGTGAGTAGCCTTTACTAGCACTCCATTTCACTTTATGAAAGGGTTTTTGACTGTGAACCAGTTTGTCCTCATATCTGGTATGAACCAGAGTAACAGAACAGACTGTTGTGTATATACTGGTGCCCCAACGCACACAGTTCTTTTATGCTGTGCCCTCATTCTGCAATAAGTGACCAATGATCTTCCCAATGTCAGCGATAAGATAATGCGATGGCAGCTCGCAGCCTTTCATTTCTTTGTACTTCTGTGGCAAATCAAAATATGCTGGATATCAGTGAACATTTTGACCAAAAGATTTTTATGATTGATTTTTTTTTCCTTGTTTTACATTTTCATATTGAGAAGAATCTGAAAAATAGGACAAAATGTTTATTACAGGCTCAGTGTGTTTGTGTTAGGAATAGATTTTGCATATTGAACATGTGTACACATCATTAAGAAAGATGCATTTATTTATTCAGCTCTTAAATAAACATGAAGCCAGCTCCAATATACTTCACTGCACTCAGTTTTGCCTGCTGTATAATATAAATTGTTAATGCGTATTCTGTACATATGTCTGTAATGATGTGATTCCACTTTGTTGTTCTATTTTCTCTGAATGGCCAGTCCTGGATGATTTGATTGTAGTGGTGGTTTTTGATTAAATTGGGAACAAATCAGAACCTGTCTCATATTTTTTAAACAACCTTGTTAAACTCAGAGGACCTAAAGTGAATTCTGGTATGACCAGATTTCAGTGAACACACCCCCAGAGGATTAAATTCGCAGTGTCCATATAAAAGCCTGTGATTTGTAGAGGCTTGTCGCTCTTGATCAACACACAAGGATAAAGGTAGGAAGAAAAACTTAATGCATATTCTTATTCACCACTGTATGAAAAGATGATGAGAAATGGTTGTTGATAGACCGTTGGAAGGGCAGAGAAGTTGACTTTCCATATTTCAATTTTTTTGGGCACAAGATTTAAACATAGTGCACATCCCAGCATATATTAAGATGAATGTATGGGTAAAGCAAGATGATAAAATGCAAGTGGAATTAGGATTCCTGGGGATTTTTTCACAGCCAAGGAGCCCTGCAAAGTAGAAAATATCAAGGGATGTCCTCATAGTGTACATGATATTAATTAATAATAATTTCTTCTTCTTACCTTTACTAAGTTATGTGAAAGAGCAGAACAAGAAGAATTTCTTAGAAAGATAAGACATGTTGAAAATATTTTCATCATTTCAATACTGAATGAAAATGAATCATTTTAACTACATGCTTAAATCTAAATGTTCAAATTAAATGTTTCTGTTCTCCTCCTGCAGCTCAATTATGGTGCATAAAGTAGCAGTGATTGGGGCCGGTCCCAGTGGTCTCACCAGCATGAAGGCTTGTCTGGATGAGGGCATGGTGCCAACTTGCTTTGAAAGCAGCGATGATATGGGAGGACTGTGGAAGTTCAAGGCAAGTCACCATTCAGAACATATGACAAACGATTTTGATTTATGCCCCAATTATTTAATGTACAACAGTATTAAAGCATTGCAGCAGCAATTTGAGCAAAGTCAACAGTCAAAGGTCTTTCTGTAGTTTAATTCAGATGGACTCACAGCACATCACATTTTATGTATCACCTTGAGTCATGCAAGTACAAAACAGCATTCTTGTCAGCTGTGGTTTGACCTCTAACCAGATGGCCTGTGGTTCACTCCCAGTTTTCCCCATTCGACATGCCAAGTGTCCTTGGGCAAGGTTCTGAACCTGAAATTGCCCCTGGTGGCTGTTCCATTCTTATAGAAAATGTGCTGCCCTTATTTGCACTGTGTTAATGTGTTTGTGTGAATGTAAAACTGTACTAGAAAAGCACTATATAAATATGGACAGTTTATTCTGCTGGTAGAACTCACAGGTCATCTTGTCCTTGGACGTGCAGTGAAGTGCTGTAACTTACACAAGTCTGCCATGTAAAGAACGTAGAGAATACACTGCCAGTTTAAGGGGCATTGAAACAATGCATAGGATGTCAGCTGATAAGACCTTTTACTGTTAAAGAGAAGGATTAAGAAAGAAATACTTATAAATTAGGAATACAGCGGTCAACCTTATCATTATTATTCTTTTTCCTTTTGTCATTTGAAACCTCTTCTCTACAGGAAGTATCAGAGCCAAACAGAGCCAGCATCTATCGTTCCCTCACGATCAACATTTCCAAAGAGATGATGTGCTACAGTGACTTCCCCATCCCTGCTGATTACCCTAACTACATGCATCACGCTAAAATCCTGAAATACTTCAGGATGTATGCAGATCACTTTAAACTGCTGCAGCACATTCAATTCCAGGTAACGAGCAGAGAGAAGCATGTGGCTTGTTATATTGACTTGCTGAAGTCAAATATTTCAATTTTACTGTACATGTAAATTTTACTTTTCTAACATTTTAGACCTTGGTTAAGAGTGTCAGACAGAGGCCGGATTTTTCCCGCACTGGTCAGTGGGAAGTGGTAACTGAGAATAGAGATGGACAGGAGGAGCGTCATGTCTTTGATGCAGTGATCTGCTGCGCAGGACACTACACCTATCCCAACATGCCACTTAAAGATTTTCCAGGTACAGCCATGTTCGTCATTAATCTTCCTTTTGCTTTGAAGATCATTCCACTTTCATCTAACGCATTGAGGAATTTGTTGCAACATGTTGGTCGTCATTATTTCTTTTTGGCATGAGATTCCAACACCTTTTCATCACACATTAAAATAGTAGGAAAAAATGACATAATTATCAACTTGTTGTTCAATAGTGTGCACACAAACATTTTCCAAAATGTTACGTACCGGAATCCAAAATGTGTTCCAACCCGCATCAAGAAAACAATGGGCAGAGGAACAAAATTCATCTGTGGTGTTGCAGGAATTGAGACGTTTGAGGGGAAGTACTTCCACAGCTGGGATTACAAGGGCCCAGAGGACATGTACGGGAAGAGGGTGGTGGTCATCGGCATTGGTAACTCTGGAGGTGACATCGCAACAGAGGGCAGCAGAGTAGCTGAGGAGGTGAGGAAGTTACTTTTTATGGTGCTTGACTTTTGTTAGGATTGATTCATGATTGCTTGCGCAGGTAGTGATCTGTCCGTCCTTCTCATCATGCAGATGTATCTGAGCACTCGTCGCGGTGCCTGGGTCATCCGTCAGGTTTCTGACAATGGCATGCCTGTGGACATGAAGTACAACACACGTTTCGTCCACATCTTGTTCCAGCTGTTGCCGATGAATGTCCTCAACTGGATCGGCGAGAAGAAACTCAATGCCATGTATGACCACACCATGTACGCTCTCAAACCCACACACAGGTAGGTTGCTGTCAGGACCACACAGGATTTTGCTCTCTGGTATTAAGGCATAAACTCTTTGCAAAAAGAGGAAGAGTGTGATGTGTTGGAGAAGGAGATCCTCTGCATCTCACCAGAATATCTTAGTCTTCTGTTCGTCCTTCTTCTGCTGCCTCACCAGGCTCTTCAGCCAGATCCCAGTGATCAATGACGATCTGCCCATGAAGATTCTGTCCGGAGCGGTCACTGTCAAACCGAATGTGAAAGAGATCCGTGGCTCCACCGTGGTGTTTGAGGATGGCACTTTTGTTGAAAAAGTCAGAGAATTACATAAGATAAGAATTACCTAAAATAATATTATTATATATTATCACTAACTTTCTGCCTTTTTGTTACAGGTGGATACAATTGTGTTCGCAACAGGATACAACTACGATTTCCCCTTCTTGCCAAGCAGTGCAATATACAAGTCAGGGCACCGTGTGGGTCTGTACAAGCACATTTTTTCTCCCACATTAGAGCATTCAACTCTGGCTGTTGTGGGTTTCATCCATGCCCTTGGAGCCATCATGCCACAGGCTGAAATGCAAGCCCGCTGGGTCGCACGCGTCTTCAAAGGTGAGGCAGCATGTCCAGTTTATCAGCTGCATTTAAAATACATGTCGGCATATTTACCTCTGTCTGTCCACTGATTTTATCTCCTTAGGACAAAGTAAGTTGCCCTCAAACCAGGCCATGATCAAGGCTATTGAGAAGGACACCAAGGACATTGAGAAAAAGTAAAACTCCCAGTACCAATTTGCCACACCAATGTTACAACCAATATTGTCAACATTGTTGTTTTTACTTTAACATTGAACTTCTAACTAATTCACGACTGATTTCTCCTCCCCACAGCTTTAACGTATCAAAGTTGACACCCCTGCAGGTGGACTTTGTTACCTACATGGATGACTTAGCTGGAGAGATTGGTGTATTCCCAAATCTCCTCTGGCTCTTCTTCACTGACTACCCTCTGTTTAAGAGGGTCTTCTGGGGACCAGTCACAGCCTACCAATACCGCTTGACAGGGCCGGGGAAATGGGCCGGAGCCCGCAAAGCAATCTTCACCCAGTTCGACCGCATGTACCAGCCCCTGAAAACAAGAAAGGTCTGAAATTATTCTTTTTTCTTCTTTGTAAGTCTTAAAGGTTCAATGTGTAGAATTTCGTGATATCCATTGTTGAAATTGTATGTTGCAGCTGAACACCCCTCACCTCACCCTCTCCTTCCAAACATGAAAGAGAACCTGTGGTAGCCTTTAATTGTCATAAAAACTCAACCTAAATCTCACACACTGGACCTTTAAGTTTGATGCTAAATATATATCTTACATTATCTTAACATAAAGTACAGTATCCAAATGTAAAAAACCATTACTCCATCTCTTCCAGCTGGTGGAGCATGAGCCATCCACCGCTGGCCGCCTGTTAAAGCTGAGCCTGACACTCATGGCCGGAGGAGCCACTGTCTACTACGTCCATGTGCACTACCCGACTGCTATGTCCACCCTGCTGTCCAAACTTCATCCACAGACAGTCTAATACTCCGGAGTCTGCACTCAATCAAATCACAGCAGTGTCTTGTGTGTTTTTGGGTCCAATATGATGTCAAAGGGGAAAATTAATTGTCTCGTCATAAAAGCAAAGTAGTGCTGACAAAAGGTACAAAATATTGGAGAGGCTTTTTTAAATATGGGCCATAAAGGCAAAATCAAAAGCATCAAAAACTGCCAATATAGCACAGGACCCCTAAAAATGCATGCACACATACAGGATTGGCATATAAAAACACAGGAATGCATACATCAAACAACATATCTATAGTTTTAGAACCCTGAGAAATCCACCTAAGTTATAATACACTGCTATTTATCTTGTGATTATAATATAATCTGTAATTAATTTGGAGTAATGTCTTAGTTAGTTATACTTGTATCTTTATATTTGATATATTTAAACACTTTATTTCTTCTAAAAATGTTTTATGCAACAATGTCTTTTTAATTTCATTTTATTCCTATTCCCAACAAAATCCATTATTTGGGGTAAATCAGTCATAAATAAATATTGAAAAGAATGAACACTGGCAAATGCAACAGAAAGAGTTTTAGAGTCACAGTCTCACACTTTGCACACCCATTAACCTTCCCAATATCCCTGCACCACATGAAAGTACCACTACCTCCTACATAGGAGTTGGCAGGTGGACTAAGAGATTTTGAATTAGTTGGTAGAGACAGATTAACTGAATCTGTCTGATTCAGAAATGACAGCACAGAAATGACAATTGATTGTCAAGATTCAGTGAATGTCTAATGGGCAAATACAAGTAAGCTCACCAGACTATTTACCTCATATTTAACTCTAACAAACTATTAATAGGCAATATTTTCCAATGTGAATAAACTTCATAAACCTAATAAAACTGATCTGGGTGTCTTCTTTGGTCCAACTCTCCGAAACACAAAAGAATACTTACAGAAAGGAAGATAGGAAAAATGTGCTTTAGGGAGGAAAAATCCAGACTTTAGAGAAAAGAAAGGTATATTGAATCAACATAATTTGGTTACAAGCTTTATTAACTCACCCTACCTGTAAAAGCGAGTGCTGCTTTAACAGTGTCCCTATATGAAACATGTCACCTCAGAGATGTAGTTATTTACAGGTAAAGACTAGTGAAGCGTTCGTAGCTGAAAAGTCTTCTTTTGTTTAGTTTTTGAAGTCCCTGGGTTATTTGGCCACACACTGGGAGATTGGGCACCTTTGACAGTTTGCCTCCAAGAGGTGTGTTCCTGCCACTAATTGCTTGTATTGCGTAGATCAGATAAATAGTGGGCAGAGGTGGAGAGACTGATGTAGGTGGTTCAGGTTTTATGGGCATTATGAGCCCATAAAGCTACTCCACCCTGAGCCAAAACACAGTCTCCAGCACTGTTGGGCCCCTCTGTTAGTTGGAGCCCTTCTCTCAGTGGACTCCTCTGAGGACAGAACAAACCAAACTATTTGCAATGCTGGTAAACTAATCTACTGCATTATACTGTCATTTGTGTGCTTGTTTTGTGCAGAGCTTTTTATAAACAGTAGATGGTAAAGTGTCTGTTCATCCTACCTGGTGTATCTGCACTCAATGTTTTTCATGAAACTGAATTCGTTTTGTTGCTGTTGCTCTTCTTCCGCCCAAACGGTGTGCTTGCACTCAGATATATTGTTGCTCGCACGTATTTCCTGCGCTCCAGTTTCAGCCCTTCTCCGCACACGGGCTGCTTTCTGTGCGCTCGTGAGACGACATCACTTAACTCAAGTGGCGGATCGACAGTCAACACGCACCAGCAGAGTCAAGGACCTCAAGTTTTTTTATTTCAATAGTTTCATAACTGGATTAAACTTTTGAGTCAAGTGAAGTTGTTTCCAAATTCCAAGCGCCGGGGGGAAATCATAGACTGTATATGGGTGAAATCCAAGAGCAGACGATTCACGAGTAAACAGAAAGCAGCCCGAGTGCGGAGAAGGGCTGGAGCTGGAGCGCAGGAAATCCGTGCGAGCAACAATATATCTGAGTGCAAGCACACCGTTTGAGCAGAAGCAGAGCAAATTTAAGTGCAAACAGTATGCAAGAGCCGGGTTTTGATGAAAAGTAATGCTCAGTCTGAACATAACGCTCTTGATTTAAGACTTTGGACTTGTTTTCTGGAGGGTGGAGTTCTGACTGCTCTCTGGTTTCTGATTTACGCCTGCATCACCTCTGTAAGTCTTTTACTTAGTTGTTTCAAATCAGAGGTTAATTATATAAAAGAAATGCGTAGCTTATACATGATAGTCCCAGAACCTAAGGGGAAAGGTGTGGAGATGAAGGACCCTGGGAGACTTAGTTCCGGAAGCTGTCCTTTCTCTTCAGGACAAAGGACACATGTTGACGCAGGCTTTGGTTACAAAACTACGGTTCAGCAATAATTAGTCCCAACTACGGATGTCGGGATTTACCGGTGTTACGATAACTGCGGTTTGATAACGTCACGATTTCATAACCGTAAGAATTGTAAAAACTACGGTATTTAATTTTGCTGTCCTGTCTCTCGCGAGTCACAGTTTGTGTGCAGGAGCCACTGAAACGTCATAAGGCAACTAAATCAAAAAGCTCCCAAAAATTACTTTTAAGTAGATAAACGTTACCCTATAAAAACTAACTGGATAAAGATGATGTTAATAATACATAGTTCATAAGCTTTATTTTTAGCTATCTATTCGCTTTATTTTGCTTGTTGTGAGTCTTTTTTCTTCTATAGTATCCAAAATCGGTAAAACCGTGTTGAGTGATGGTTCGTCGGGTGGCGGTGGTCGGAGCAGGCAGTTCAGGTCTGGCCTGCATCAAGGTCTGTGTTGATGAGGGCCTGGAACCTGTCTGCTTTGAAAGCAGTGATGACATTGGTGGCATGTGGAGATTTAAGGTGAGAAGGGGGGAAGATTTTCAGAGCCTCCCTCATATTTGATTTCTTTATAGAAGTTTGCGTAGCGGGAACATAATTTGTCATCATTGGATAAAATGACAAAATTTCTTCATCAGAGTGATTTTTTTCTTCATATCTTGTTTTGCTTTGTGTCATCAGGAGTCCCCTGAGCCAGAGCGAGCCAGCCTGTATCGCTCATTGGTGGTCAACACCTCAAAAGAGATGATGTGTTTCAGTGACTTTCCCATGCCAGATGACTATCCAAACTACATGCTCCACTCTCAGCTCCTGCAGTACCTCAGGCTCTATGCTGAGCACTTTTACTTGCTCAGATACATCAACTTTCAGGTAAACACGCCAAGAGTGTCACTGATTTATCACACAAACCTATGTAGCATCAAAAGTCTTAACATGTTTCAATGTGCACACTCATGATTCAGACAACGGTGAAGAGTGTTACACAAAAGCCAGAGTTTTCTCTGTCCGGTCAGTGGGATGTAGTGACCATAAACAGGGATGGAGAGGAAGAATGGCACGTCTTTGATGCTGTTCTGGTGTGTTCAGGTCCTTACGGCCATCCATCGTTACCGCTTTCAAGTTTTCCAGGTCAGTCAACAAACAGCAGATTTATCAGCATTATCAAGCACACTGAGGGATCGAAGTGGAATGATTTTTCTTGGAATGAGCTCAATTTATTGTTTTCCTTTGCCACTGCACCTTCTGTTTCCCTCCAGGATATGAGACTTTTACTGGCAGGTGTTTTCACAGCTGGGAATATAAAGATGCAGAGGCATTGAGAGGAAAGAGGGTGGTGGTGGTCGGCATGGGAAATTCTGGAGGGGACATTGCTGTGGAGATCAGTAGATCCTCTGAGAAGGTAAGACAGAAAAGAATTGAATAGTTGTTTCCAATGCTTCTTGACAACATATACACGTGGTCCTGAAACAGTTATGGGCTTTGAACTAATCCAGTAAATTTTTGTAATGATGTTTATCCTTAGGGACACATTCTTTTTTCTTACTGTGTGAAGTTTTTATTACATGGCAAAAAAGTGTAGAAGTGTATAGAAAATGTCTATACATGCATCCATCAGCATCCCTTTTGTCTAACTGTATAGAGACCATAGAATGTACATAAAAATGGAGACCATACTGCTCACCAAAAGTAAAGCCTAAGCTTCTCAACTGCCACCTGGTGGCTGGCTGCAGTATCGGTCATACTCGATGTAACAGCAGAGACTGGCTCATGATTGGTGGGGGGGTCTCGCTACCACAGCTCCATCTCGATCGTGTCTGCCCAGACTGGCTTCCAATGCACAAGATGGCATTTCTACATAACGGGAGCGAGTGGAGACACATTTTTCATTTTTTTTCATTACATTTTTTTTTAATGTGTCTCATTTTTACGGTATCTAATGCTACATTTACAGAACATATGCATAAGCTCACACCATCTTCTTCCCTCTGACAGACATTTCTCAGCACACGAGAAGGGGCCTGGGTGATTGGCAGGATGTCTACCAATGGTCTGCCTCTGGACATGATAAATATATCCAGACGCATCAATATCCTACAACTGCTGGTCCCCCAGACCCTGACCAACTGGATAATTGAGCGAAAACTGAACCGCAAATATGACCACAGATTGTATGGTCTGAAGCCCAGACACAGGTGACACCTTTTTACCTGCATCTTTATCTCTGACACATGAATCTTGTTTCCTGTTGCACAACTTTTTATGTCACTGTTTAACCATTATATCTTTAAATTCCCAATTCATACCATTTATTCACCATATAAACTATAGTTGTACCAAAGTTATGAGTCCGAATTTGGTTTCAGACTGTATGCCACAATCAGTTGCTTGTGTTATTTTCCTGCCAGCCCCAAGTAAAATGTCTGTAAAATGTTGAAGTGTGTCATGTGACAATACAGCAGGTACATCTGAGGAATATTCACATGGAGGAAAAGTCTAATACACAACAGATGTGAAACTGGAAGAATGCAAATATTACAGGATGAAAAAGAGGTGTCTTACATGTAACAAAGACAACAGGATTCAAGAGCTTTTCAAAGTATGGGCCAATGCCAGTGTTGATATGGGGTAAACGAAAATCAGTGGATGTTTTACATCATGTAATGTGGTTGTAAACATTTCTGACTCTGGATCTCCTGATGCGTTCTTTATATTTTAAAGGCCAAATCCTGAAAATGTCCAATTCATGTCTAAAAAGGCTTATGTGAGGTCTGTTTTAGTCCGTAATATGAGAGAAAAGTTTTATTTTCTGTGTTTAACATTTCATCGCTTTCACAGAATTTTGGACCGAAGGATATTGATCAATGATGATCTTCCTGGCCGAATCCTCCAAGGGGCACTGGTCCTGAAGCCAAACCTGAAAGCGTTTGTGGAAACGGGAGTTGTGTTTGACGATGGCACAGTGGAGGAGAACATCGATACTGTGGTCTTCTGTACTGGATATAATGAAAGCTTTCCATTCCTGCCTCCAGCTTTGTCTGATGGGACAAATGGAGAGTTGACATTGTACAAGTAAGTGTGTTGTAAAGATACTACTGATAACGTTTATTAAGCCAGTCCATGGACACATTAATATACAAATGTAATAATTGGTTGGTTTATTTAAATTCCTTCTGAAAAGCACATTTATGAACTAAACTATTTAATCTTTGATTAAAAAGTCCACAGACTTTCTACAAAATTACATTATTTGTGGACATTTTATAACATTTTAGTGAAAAAACTAAATTTAACATGTGACCACCATAGACTGTATATAAAGTTGGATAACATTCCACTGCCTCAAAAGTGAAGCCAAATCATTTTGATTGCAGCCTTGTGGCCTGCTGCTGTATAGGTCATAAACTGGCCACCTCCATGTTGGTGGATGGAACATGGACCAAACTAAAATTCAAAGTACAAGTCAAGTAATTTTTTCTCACAGATGGTTTGTGTCATATTAGGTAGTTCTTATTACACCTTTTTTGGTTATTTGATGCTTTAATAACAGGGTGAAACATCATGATTGACATCTAAGACTGACTTGTGATTGGTCAAGCATGGGTATCACCGGGACCTACAGCGGCTCTATTCCCCGTTCACCACATACTCGGACTCAAGGCGGCAGCAGAGATTTTGGCTTCATTTCTGGATAGTGGGAGGAAGTGGAGATGCGTCATTACGCCTCATAACACAGTATACACCAAAAATAATTACGTATTGAACTAGATTGTAATAGTACATCTAACACTCATGTATGAAGAACTTCATTTTGTTGGAGCGATTTCTTCTTGTTGTAATATAATGTCATAATTTCAATGCATCTCTCCACAATTATTTTTAATATCAGGAGACTGTTCCCTCCTTCTCTCCAACACCCCACACTGGCCATCATAGGATTTTTTCGAACAAATGGACCAATCATGCCCACAGTAGAAATGCAGGCACGGTGGGCTGTTAACGTCTTTTCAGGTAAATACTCAGATTTACACAAAAAGGATTAATGAGCAAGATGTGTTACTCTGCACTGTTTACCTTAAAGGTTTGAGGCATCTTCCTTCTCAGGAGAAAATGCTGGAAGTCATTGAGTCTGATAGACAGAGATCCATGAAAAGGTAGAGATCATTTACACACTGATATTTCCAATTCCATCACTATTTGTGTGTGTGGATAGAAAATAATTAAACTCGATTTTAATTGTATATGGATGAATTATTTCCTTTCCTTTGTGTTCTCAGCTACCCCTGCCCACGACAAGCTGCTCTTAATGTGAATTACGTCCAATACCTGGATTTCATGGCAATGGAGGTCAGTTCAGTTTGCTTCAGGTGAAACTGTGTTACCATGTACATATGAAAGACGCATTTATATTAGACTTCCGATTACAGGTAGGAGCTCAACCAAACTTTCTTGCACTACTCCTGAGAGACCCTGTGCTCTGGGCAAAGGTCGTCTTTGGTCCATTCACTCCCTATCAGTTTCGTCTCGCTGGACCTGGACAATGGGCCGGAGCCCGACACGCTATCCTCACTCAGTGGAAGCGGGTTGCTCAGCCTTTCAAAACCCGAGTGATACCAGAACCAGAGCCTGGGTCGTCTGTCTTTTCCCTCCCTCGGCTGCTCACTTTGGGAGGAAGTGTGATAATGGCTGTACTTTTGTCTAAAAATCTTCCAGTGCTGCAGGGTGCAACTGAGATTCTGGAGAGGAGATAGATTTTCTTTGAGGGACACCTGGTTGACTGGTTAAACCACAAGAACATGACGACTAGAGGCTTCTCTGTGCACAGACAAGTAGCTATCTGCTGGATTCATGTACCTTTTGGAAGTAATTCATCAACTTTTTTGTGTTCATTTGCTTTTAATTCAGATTGTTGAAATGACAATGTTTCACTGTGAAGCTGTGGATCATTTAATTACTATAAATTTACTGCTAATTCCATGACCAAATTTTAGGATACCTTATATGTGGACTCACTTTCAGCCCCCATAAACCCTGCAGGGAAACAGGTTATAAGGACATGAGAAGAATTTGTGCCACAACACACTGGTGTTTTGTCCTGTTGCTTTTTCTACCCTACATACCAGACTGGAGGTGTGCACCTTTCTCACACAACCTCCATGAGACAAAACACAACCAGACATGCTCCTGCAGGTAAAACTATACCTGCCACTCTCAGTATAATATGTGCAACTCTCCTTTTTTTATGTGGCGCTGCTTTTCACAAATGCTCAAGGTATTACTTACTCCTCACCTTGAATACCCTCAAGATCAAGTTCTACCTGTTTATGTTCCAGATGGCACAACAAGCCTTGCTTTTCTCCCCCTGCTGTTTTACTGTACTGTCTGATTCATTGTTTCTATCCAGACCTTTACTGATAAAGCAGAGTAGAAATTTCACATTTGTTCACTAGGAAGTCTCGATCTGTTATAAATAACAGGTAATTCTATTGAAAAAAGAAACATTGATTGGTCAAGTGGTTGGTTGGTGGGCTGGTTAATTGGTTGGATGGTTGGTTGTTAATTCCAAGTGATTGCTATTATGAAACCCAGAGAGACATTTAATTACAACAGCAGATCAACTGAACACCAAAAGTTGGAAAAATATATATATTTACAGAATTATATGATGAATGAATAAATAATTTGTTTTTATTGTCAAATTTCTTGAGTCAATGTCGATTTTTTTTTTTAATGAATTGAAGTATTAAAACAGTGTGTTTTTGATTTGGCTCTGATCAGACAGGAAATAACCTTCTCATGAGCTCAGTGTGTGTCACTCAGAAACACCTTACAAGCAGCTGACAGAGGACCTCTGGCTCCGGTGCAAACTTTGTCAAATAAAAAGTCAGAACAAGACTCACTCACACTTTTTGCTCAGTACAACATGAGATGTGACGTGAACAGCATTACTCAGTGTTAAAATGACCGGAGTGACACAGATCCATGTATTTAACCATTAAACAGGTAACCTTAAGGTTAGGAGCTGCCACTGCACACAACTGCTTGTGTTAATGGTCTTCATGGAATCTTTTCTTAGATTGTTGTTGTCTTAACTTACATTCAACTGTTCTTTATCTTTTTGAGGACGCCTAACCTTCTTGGTGTTGTACTTTGTCCTGTTTTGCTATCATCGTAGCAGAAATAGTTCCCCACTTTAACCACTACAGTGGTATTTTAACTCCCCTGCGTCACACTTCAGTTTGTCAGGTTGTGTCAGAGTTGATCATTATCCTGGGTTAAAAAAGAACGACACGCTGTCCAGTGCAGTCATAAAGTCTTCATTCCTGGTGGTTAAGTGATGCATTTTGTGTCATTCAATTTAGAGCATACATTTTAAGTACTCCTCTAGATACATATTGAGATTCCTCATAGGGTGGGAGTACAGGAAGAATTTCAATTATCAGGTTTACTAGATTTATGCAATGTTGACATTTCCTATGGATTCTATTATCTTAACAACAAACTGAGGAATTAAAATGTATATGCACTTTGTCTTTAGTGATCATATCACTATGTAGAACTTTGATTGTTAAAAACAGACTGTTAAACTGAGCCTCTTGTTTAGCTTGGCTTGTTCATTCCTCAATAAGACCAAAAAAAAAAGAACACAAAGAGTATGTGGTGTCAGTGTTATTAGGTGATGAATGTGTTGCCCCCTACGTCTTTGCTTAATAGCTGCTAAAACTGATAAATACAATAGTTTGAATCTATTTTTCACAGTGTAATGTCTTATCCTGCCACCAGGTGGTTTGGACGCAGCCGTGTTGCCAATTCAAGTAGGCGTGTAGTGGGTGTGGTTTACGCACGGCCGCAGCTGCATATACTTGATGTTTGCAAGTGGAACAGCGGTGGCTTTATTTAAAAAGCTAAGAAATGCCACAGTAATATGTGTTATGTGTAAGTCCAAGTTTGTCATTGTCAGCGTCAACTCCTCTCGGTCAGAGGTTGCTCTTGTATTTCCACCTCAGCAAAGGGGATTGAAAACAGTAACCACCCAAACGGAACAGGAGGAGCATGCCCTCTGAAATGATCGCAACCAGAGGGGGGTAGACATTTACATCAGTGGACATTGTAAGTGACTCATCTCCCCCAGTGAAGAGGTAACCTTACATATTTTAAGGTTTGTTATTAGTTGTGGTGCAAAGCAATGAAATCTAAAAACATTTTCTTTGGTAAAATTGCAACTATTCTGTATTTTGGTGAGAGTTGTGGAAATGTTTCTGTGTTGGTGTTTGAGATATGCACAGTTTACCTTTGTCTCATTCTAGATTTAACACAATTATCTTGATTGACTCAATCACACTATGTGCAAATCAGTGACTGAAAAATAAAGAGTGTGAAGGTCATTACAGATATCATGAAATGGCTTCACATTACAGTACAAAACAACTAATTTCACTCTTTCGCTCATTTCCGTGGCTGTTTGCTGCGTTTCCTTGCCAGTATGGTTCAGAAGGTGGCAGTGCTCGGTGCGGGACCTTCAGGTCTGACCAGCATCAAGGCCTGTTTGGATGAAGGCCTGGAGCCGACGTGTTTTGAGAGCAGCCATGACATTGGAGGACTGTGGAGATTTAAGGTGAGGGAGAAAGCTTTTATTCCAAGGCCATATTTCCACTTCTTGTATATCAAGCAACTCTAATAATGGGGTAATCAGGTTTTTAGTCTGTGAAGGTGTAACTGATGGTAAATGAAAGTAAAACCCATTGTTTTGTCATATGAACACATCAACATTTAATATGTTAGATAATAATGTTTCTGATCTAAATCAGAACATGCTAACCACGGATTGGATGCAAACACACTAATAGTTAAATAGACGAAAAATTACACACTTTTAATCATAGACCTCCCTACAAGACTGTGAGCTTCCACCAGAAATCAAACTCTGTTCATTTATAATCTGATAATACAATAAAAAACATCCAGAGCTTGAAATTGTTAATTAGGATCATACTTAAAGTCTCTGCAGTTCATGCTACATCCAGACAGGCACCACAGTTATCTACTATTTTAAAAGTCCTGTTATTGGATTTAGATTTCTGACAAAGCAGAGAAGTGAATTTTATGTCCATCATATCTTTTTCAGGAGAAGCCAGAGCCTGGACAGGCCAACATCTATCAGTCGGTGGTCATCAACAGCTCCAAAGAGATGATGTCGTTCAGTGACTTCCCTCCTCCTGCTGAGCTCCCCAACAACATGCACCACTCTGAGGTGCTGCTGTATCTGCGCCTCTATGTGCAGGAGTTCAAACTGCTGCAACACATTCGCTTCCAGGTCAGTGGTCCAGAGGAGAAATATTATGATTAACACACGTCTTTTAGGACTATGAATCACGGTGGATGTGAAAATGATGAAACTAGACATTGAGAGATTCTGTTGGTGTTAAGAAGTATCTTTTTAGTGATTCCCTGGAGGACAGAAAGAGTGCCATACTTTTTTTTAAATTACATCTAAATGTCCTGATCCACCCTGTGTATTTTGATGGTTTTTAACATAACATAATGTTTTTATAAAAATAAACATTTTTTTGGGCAAAGCATGACAAAGACCTATATTTTCTATCACTGTTCAGAAGCTTTATTGATGCCTCTGTGCTGGTGATAGTAGGTGGGCCAAAGGTCGCTGTGACCTCTCAAAAAACTCTTGGCTTGCGAACATGTTATCTGAAGAACATCTTTTGAGGGTTAAAGGTCAGAATCATGAACATGTTTTTTTTTGGTTGGAGGAATACGTTTACAGGGCGGCAATTCTAGATTTTGTCGATGTGTATTTTTAAGATGTATATTCCTACACTGGATTACAATATAAAAACCTTGCTTGAAGACTCTTATGTAGAATGCATTAATAAAACTGTGTCTCTTGTCCCAGACCACCGTGCTCAGTGTGAAGCAGACCCCAGACTTTGCTGCAACAGGCCGATGGGAGGTGGAGACGAAGAGCAGAGATGGTGAGAGGGAGACCTGTGTTTTTGATGCAGTGATGGTTTGCACAGGACACTTCACCCAGCCTCACCTGCCACTCAGAGACTTCACAGGTAACCAAGATTCATAATAGTATACTAGTATACCTTCACGTTAGCGAGAAACACACTGTGGTTGTTTGTATTCTTGCTTCACCTCTGCAGGTATTACTCGGTGATCTCTAAACTGGATGTAAAAGAATTACAGACATGTTCTCTAAATGCAGCTTAATAAGGTACATTATCTCTCTTCTTACACCGTTTCAGGTATTGAGAGCTTTGAAGGCAGATATTTCCACTCCTGGGAGTACCGCAGTGCTGAGGGGATGCAGGGGAAAAGAGTGCTGGTGATTGGGATTGGAAATTCTGGAGGTGATATTGCTGTTGATATCAGTCGAGTTGCTGAGAAGGTACTGAAATACCTCTTTTTGAAGTATTGGTTTAATTTCAAATACAGCAGTGTACAATTGATATTACCTGTAACAAACTGTAATGCTGACAGTGTAAAATGGATATTTCCTCTCACGTGTGACATGACCCACAGGTGTACCTCAGCACCAGGAGCGGTGCATGGGTTGTCAGCCGCGTTGGACAGGAGGGATTTCCCGCCGACCTTGTGGGGACTTCTCGAATGCATTTGATGATAGGGAAGCTCTTCCCCTCATGGATCAACAGTATGCTGGAGAAGAAGCTGAACGAATGGTTTGACCACAAACTATACGGCCTGAAACCAAAACACGGGTATCAAGATACTGTAGATACATTTATTTAATTTTATTATATAATATTTGATCACACCCCACAATATCAAATATATATATATTCCTTTTGATATTTGTGCGGCCTTGCCATTAGTGAATTCCTAGTGTAATGATGTCGTGTGGGTTTGTGTTCTTGTGGCAGATTTTTTGCACAGATTCCTGTTGTAAATGACGACCTGCCGGCTCGGATTATCGCAGGTCGTGTTCAGGTGAAATCAAACGTGAAGGAGTTCAGTGGGTCCAGTGTGGTCTTTATTGATGGGAGTGTCATAAACAACGTGAGTATTAGTACATTTCTTACAGATTCTCTTTCTACAGAGGCAAAACTTTCTTTTATAGGGGATAGGAGCTGGGGGATGAGACAATTCGCAGGATAAAATCCTTCTAACAAATGATTTACTGCTCATATTCATTTCATCTTAAAGTGTTATATTTGTTTCATACAGGTGGATGTGGTGGTGTTTGCCACAGGCTACAACTACAGCTTCCCCTTCCTGCCCTCAGCTCTGCAGGCTAAATGTGGTTATAGGCTGCGTCTCTACAAACACGTGTTTCCTCCCGGACTCACCCAGCCAACGCTGGCAGTGGTGGGCTTCATCCACGCCTTGGGGGCTATCAATGCACTGGCTGAGATGCAGGCCCGCTGGGCTACTAGAGTTTTTAAAGGTAAAAGAACAACACATAAACTGGGTTTTACATTTACGTGTGTAGTGACAGTTTGAGAAGATACAATACCTTACCTTGAAAAAAAGCATTTCTCAATATGTGTGATATTTTAACCGTGAACCTTTTATACCAGACTGTTTCTTCCCAATCATCATATTGAATAATTACATTATATGTATAATATGTATGAAGTGGTGCACCACAGTAGCTACAGTGATAGCAAAATCCCTGAAGTATAAATGTGTCTTCTTTGGGTTTTTGTGTGTGGTTTTTTAAATTTTTTTAATTTGACTGAATTCTCTCCCATGCAGGTTTATCTACCCTTCCCTCAGAGGAGACCATGGTGAAGGAAATTCAGCAAGACACCACAACAATGCACCAGAGGTAGGAATGATTAATGATTAATTAATGTAAATATGCTGAATCAAAAAGCACTCTGACATATTTCATGGGACCTTTAAAAAGATCTTATCTTACTGTAAAGGGAATTATACAATTCCACCTTAGACATTAAACTGTCCATATTTCTGTTGGTTTTATTGGTCGGTTCTGCTGCACAGAGCCAATCTGACTGTGGCCTGTAGGGTCAAAACACTACAAAGTAAAACACAATGTTTCATAAAACATAATGACACTACAGGACAGGGAGGAGCAAAACATTATTTCCTGTTTCTGTTCCTTGCTTTAATTATAAATTGAGAAAGAAACAGAATGATGATTTTAAAATGTTGGGTTACACTCACTGGTGAAAAAGTGGCAGTTATACTTGTTGTAAAGGAGAATTTGTTTGTATTTATATATTAGTATAACTCAATTAAACAATTGTATTCACACCTCAGTATTTTACCAATATCATCCTTTGACCAAATATGTCTTAAATGTTCCTCCTTCAAATTTGAAGCAACTGAAACACATTTTTGTTTTAACCCTCCCCCCTCTTTAGATTTGCCTGCTCTGAGCGTAACCCCCTGCAGGTGGAGAACATACCTTACCTGGACTCTCTGGCGGAGCAGGTAGGGGCTCGACCAAACATACCGTGGCTCATGATGAAGGACCCCAGACTGGCTCTGCAGGTTTTTCTAGGTCCATGTACACCATATCAGTACCGCCTGACTGGACCGGGCCGGTGGGCTGGTGCCCGTCAAGCCATTCTCACTCAGTGGGAGCGCGTGCTTCAACCCTTCAGGACCAGAGTAGTACCACAACCAGAGCCCAAACCCTCCTCTAGACTGAGCATCGCAATGATTTTCTCAGGTGTTACAATGTTGTGCTGCTTCTGCTACAAGAAGCAGCCTCTCTGCTTATTCTCCTCTGCTCAGTAAGCTGCATGGTTATGTATGTGTCCATTTTAAGGTTTTGTAGGCAGATCATGCTTTTAGACTGTTTGAATGAAAATAAAACATTTTAAATAAAACACGCCAGTTACTTTGCATTTTGGATGTGAGATTAAGCTTGTTACAAAATGCTAAATATATATTGAACCAACTCTATCAAAGTCAGCCCCTGATATGAAATATTAGCGAGTTTAAGTGAAAGGATGCTCAGTAGTGAATGTGTTTATTATGTTGCAGCACTCTATTATTATTATTATTACTATAACTGATTATCGATCTGTATACTGTGTCAGTGAAGAATTACAGTGGGCTGTTATGTTCCTCTTGAACCCAGCAGATGGAGACAACTTAAAGCTGAAAAGCTGAGAGACCTGATTTGCAAAACAGCCCATGAGCTGTAGTCTACAATTGTAAGCAGTGAGGGTTATATGAGACATGTGTTATAGATTAAGAATCCATCTTTGAAAACAAGGTTTGAACAGGCTTATTTGGGTTTGGTCGACCTCTATCATCACCCGATCTCTGTATTTCTATTAGAAAACAGGAAACTTGAGACTCTTTGGCTTATTAACATCAACAGATGTAATGACTCACTTTAATGTGTGTGACCATTTTGATTCATACATGTAGGCAGCAGGATGACAGAATGTGTTTATATGATTTATGCTCCATAATGTATGTTTAGACAGACGATCACTGGTTTACAAGAGTAAATATGATCTATTAACGATGAAAACAACTGATTGGTTGACTGAGTGATAGTGGTCGAGCAGCTTCCATCTGCTGTTTCCATTTCATATTTGAAAGAAAGAATCAATGTTGACGTTTCCTCCTCTGGAACTCAAGGGTCCCTGGAGGGACTGATAAACATTCCACTCTCACTCCCCCTAGTGTTGGACATATAAACTGTGGGACCCATAGACTCAGCACCAGTAAAAGAAGACACGCTTCTTTCTTCTAGAGGAAAAGGTAAGAAATACACTAACTGCAGGCACACACACGCACACACACACACACACACACACACACACACACACACACACACACAGCGGATGGTGACTTTAGAGAGCTTGGTGTTAAAGTTTTTGTCTCAGTGCATGAAGCTTTTCTCTCTGAGGCTGCAGACAACGCCCGAGAACAGTCACCAACACTTAGTGAGTTTTGTAATAACATCTCGGGCTGGAGGATCACGGTGTCTAGAAGCTAAAGTGCGACTAACTTCCACAGGGAGATCCACGCTGCAGAGCTTAGCTCGTGGGGAGCGTGCGTGACAGATAAAGAAACGTACAGAGAGGGAAGCAGAGGGAGTTCAAAGTCCAGTGGAGCAGAGCCACTGTTCTGTATAAAAGCAGTCTGAGGACACGCAACCACACACTGCAGTGTAGGACCACTGTTATTGTCTGACTCTTCCACTCTGATCTGATCCTGGTTGTTTCCTCCACAGAGCTGAAGGATGAGTCGACGTGTGGCAGTGATCGGAGGAGGCAGCTCAGGTCTGACCGCCATCAAGTGCTGCCTGGACGAGGGGCTGGAGCCTGTGTGCTATGAGAGCAGTGATGACATCGGTGGTCTCTGGAGGTTCAAGGTGGGTCACACGAGGTGGCAGGCTGCACTGTCTCACTTAGCACATACTGTCAGTCACTTGAATTTATAATAATGATCATTATTATCCTGTGACACTGCACCTTAATAGGATTTCATATTCTGTTTGTAATGAAAAGTGTATATTGTGTATTTTTTTATTTCATAGGGTTAGGGTTAGCCTATTAGCCTATTTCTATTCTATTGTGTACATTCACTTGCTTTCTTGTTAAGTTTGTTTTCATTCTTTGCTGCTCAGTGGTGGTTCAAGCCGCGATAGAGGTATAATAAAAAACACAAATAAAAATAAGATTTGCACAAATCAAACCACAAGAACAACACCCTTACAATGAAGATTCAAAATCCTGACCTTTCTTGCCTCCCATCGTTGCGCTTGATTCCCCCACTACCCACCCCTACCTTGAGTGTCCGCTTCAACAAGGTTAATTGTATGACATCACTGACCTGATGTTTTTCTTGGTGCCTCTAAATCTGTGCTGTAATCAATGATGTCACTAAAAGTGATTGATTTGTTGTTCTGCAGGAGAATCCGGAGCCGGACAGGGCCAGTATCTACCACTCTGTCATCATCAACACCTCCAAGGAGATGATGTGTTTCAGTGACTTTCCGATCCCTGCACACTACCCAAACTACATGCACAACTCGCTCATCATGAACTACTTTCGGATGTATGCTGATCACTTCCAGCTCACCAAGCACATACGCTTCAACGTAAGGATCCCTCGCCACCTTTCTGCTTCGAATTGCGTTTCTTTTCATCTGAAGTGTTGCACCATTCTCCCCTTAAGTTTCTCATCTAAAATTTATAGTAAATATTCGTCACCATTCCTTCAAGACAAATCTGTGTTTGCACTCCTTCTGCCTCTCTGCCGCACAGACCCGAGTCTTGCAGGTGAAGCAGCGATCCGATTTTTCTCACTCTGGCCAGTGGGATGTTGAAATAGAGACCAAGGACGGCAAACGAGAGAAACACATTTTTGATGCTGTGATGATCTGTATTGGACATCACTGCCACCCCAACCTGCCTCTCCAAGACTTCCCAGGTACAACTGACATGGATTAGAGCGGGAAGTTGAGATCCAATCACAGGTGGACACAGAAGACACATTCAGGGCACATTTTAACACTCAGTTGTCCACTTGTGGTTGTATCTCTCATGATTGATGTTAATACCAGGTCTAAACAGGCCCATAGATGAACAGAACAGTTTGCGGCCACAGAAACGCACATCCACCCATTAATCTCATATAATATATAGAGAGAGATTCTTTGTGCTGCAGTAACAAGTCTATTTTTATTTTTTCAGGCATTGAAACTTTCAAGGGAAAGTATTTCCACAGTCGGGACTACAAGACTCCAGAGGAGTGGAGGAATAAAAAGGTGATAGTGGTTGGAATAGGAAACTCCGGCGGAGACATAGCAGTGGAGCTGAGCAGAGTCAGCAAACAGGTTGGACTGAGATATTGATTCATGTATGTCTTAAATGTTTTTTAACGTCATGTGTCTCATAAAGAAAGCTCTCAGTCAAAAGATTGTATTGCTCAGTGCTGGGGATGGCCTATTATCACAGTCATTGTTTAATCCTGAACACATCATTGCAAGATTTAGAAGATAGAAGAACAACGGACAGAAACAAACTTCTGACATATCAAAGTCTGGTGAAGTGTAAAATGAAGATAAACTAATCCCTCTCAATAAAGTTAGATGTAAAAAAAAACATGTTATCAATAGTGAATATTATCAATAAATGAAATAATTGAGTGAAGTCTCAAGTGATGTTTTAAAATGGGAATTGTGTGGATATGGATACATATGGATATTTCAGAGTATTGGTATGATAATGACTGTGTACCATGTGTTCTCTCCTCAGGTTTACCTGAGCACTCGAAGAGGAGCCTGGATTCTGAACAGAGTTTGGGAAAATGGAATGCCCCTTGATTTGCTCTTTAATAGGGTGTTTGACACTATACAGAAAATTCTTCCCAGCAGTGTTGTCTGTGATCTGGGAGAGAGAAGGCTCAACCGAAGATTTGATCACAGTCTGTACAATCTGAAGCCAAAGCACAGGTAGTGGGTCTACTTTTTTACAGCTACATAATTTGACTAAGCAGCCTCTCTTATCTACAGCATGTGTTTGCAGTGTAAGCAGCAGAGCTTGAGGATGAAAATGTCAGTCCAGTGCATAATACAGAGGAAGATATCTCGACTACTGTTGGCCAGAATAGCTGTACAGCAAGTTTTACAGCTATTCTGTCGATAGTCGTGGTCCGATCATGATGAATTTTCTCTTATTTCATGAAACATTTTAAAGACTTGTTATTTCTATGGTGTTATGGCAGCATTTTCCTTTTGATCATCATGATATTTTTTTCTCATCTTGAAAAACACTTCACACCGATGTGAACATAAATCTCAGGTTGTTCAGCCAACATCCCACAATGAATGATGAGCTTCCCAACCGCATCCTGTCTGGAACGGTTCAGGTGAAACCCAACATCTGCAGATTTCAAGGATCCAGTGTGGAGTTTGACGATGGGAGCATAGTGGAAGATGTTGACCTGGTGGTAGGTTGAGAAAATTGTCTGTACACACTCACAGACTCACACTAACATCTCTGCTCAGCACAGCTGCCAAGTATTGTGAGACTGACATGAGTCTCCTGTTTGACAGGTGTTTGCCACAGGATACCGCTTTTCCTTTCCGTTCCTGGCCTCACTTGTGGTCTCGGTGTCTGACAACAAAGCATCTCTCTACAAGTACGTGTTTCCCCCTGAGTTGGACCGTCCTACGCTGGCTATCATTGGACTGGTGCAGCCTCTGGGAGCCATCATGCCCATCTCTGAGATACAGTCCAGATGGGCCACACGGGTCTTTAAAGGTAAAGATTTTAAAGATCCAACTTTTTCTGTCCTTTTCAGGCATATTTTGTGTTTGAGAAGATAAATCACAATGTCTCTTTTCCCATAGGTTGTGTCAAGCTTCCTTCAGTGGCAGCCATGCTAAAAGATGTCCAGTGCAAACAGGACACCATGGCCAAAAGGTACGGCAGTGGATTTGGTTCACTTTGTGATCACTGACATATATTGTATTTGTCAAATTTTGAATTCCACAACATGACCAGCTGGAATTTCTTTTCCAGGTATGTGGCCAGTCAGAGACACACCATCCAGGTAGACTACATCAACTACATGGATGAGATAGCAGAACAGGTGGGGGTTCGGCCACACATCCTAAAGATACTGCTGACTGATCCCAGGCTGGGATTTAAGGTGTTGCTGGGTCCTTGCTCGCCGTACCAGTATCGTCTCAGAGGGCCAGGAAAGTGGGCCGGGGCCCGTCAGGCCATCCTCACTCAGTGGGAGAGAGTGTTGAAGCCCATGCAGACCAGACCTTGTGATGAGCACAAACCCAAGAGTTCATACAAGTGGCTTCTGATTCTGTCAGCTGCTGCTGTGGGCTTGGCTGTGTACATCCATAGGAACAACCCTCCTGCTTTCCTACAAGATCCCACTGCACTGCTGGACAAGATTAAAGCGTACCTTCCTGTACAGTGATGTGAAAAAAACATTTCACTTTCTTATTTTTCTACATAATAACATGTGCTATTCAATAATGAACAATAAATATAAAAATAAATAACCACGCAGCATCAAAGGGCAGCTCATGATATACTATGCAAAAAGATATCATTCATCATAACACAGTATGTAATTGCTACAATCACAATCTGGGTGGCTGTGGCTCAGGGGTTAGAGCAGTTGTCCTCTAAACAGAAGGTCGGCAGTTTGATCTCAGGCTTCACCGTTTCGCATGCCGAGGTGTCCTTGGGCAAGATACTGAACTCCAAGTTGCCCCTTCTCATAAAGAAAAGTGATAGACTGTGTGAATGTATTACTTTACTGTAAAGGGCTTTGAGTGGTCATCTTATTTTCTTGGCATAGCTGTGTACTCATACTGCTAATCTCTGCCTCATATTTGAACACAGTGTATGAACATATATGTTTAGGGGTTTCTTCTCTGAGTTGATCTGTGTTGACTTAGAACTAAGAATTCCTTAATTATGTTTATGAACACATGAATCAATATATTTGATAAATGATGAATTACAAAGCTGTAACTTTTAATCTTTTGATAACTTGTTTGATTCTTTTATGCAAATAAAATGACGATTTTGCCCCCAGAGAACATCTTCAGATTTTTTTTATGCACATATAAATGTGTTTTATCACACTTTTAACAAGATTATCATAAATCACATTCTTTGTAAGTTCATGAATAGACAGCAGTTAATTTTTCTCAATGTTTAGTCATTACAGTTAGTATTTCTGCCACTGAAAGAAAAAGGAGGTACCATGAGGCAATATACCATAGCTATTAATGTTCCCCATAATTTTTTGGGAAACTACCCCTAAAGCCCAATGCCTTCAGTGTTTTCTGTAGATCTTTAAGTGGTGTTCAATCCAGCCTGCAAGGCTTTCCTGAACTCATGAAATAGAATCAAGTCATTGTCCTTGATCATGTCACAGTAATTTAACATATCTAGAAGAAAACAGATGCTATTCTAAAACTTCAATTTAAGAAAGCTGACAACTTGAGATATACAGTTCTTGAGAAAGATTCTAGTTTTTTATTTGTATCAGGCCTGGTCACAGAGGAGGGGTCAGACGCTACTCCACAATTATACAAGATGTTTGGTGAAGAAAAGGAGCAGAGGGGTGTGTTTTGATTACAAAACAGGTTCATTTTAATGTAGATTCAAAATGGGTATTAAGTACTGTAGTTGCAATGGGACCAAGTTTTATATATTCCTTTCATTACAAGCTATATTATAAATATGGCAGTCTTTCTCGCCATGTTAAAAAAGTCTTCTTTTTTTTTAAATCCTTGGATCCACTGCAATATGTTCTTCCTTGGGCCATGTCCCTCAGCTCAACACTTACTGAGTAATCCAGCTAAAATATAACAGCCTGAAAAAGATTAAACACCCCTCTGAATATATTCTAAATTCACTAGTATGGGATTTGAATTTGAAACCATACCACGGTGTAAACTCATGATACCAACCCCCTAAATATGTATAACATAAATCATACAAATTGTATAAAATATGCATATTTTCATCCAGATTCACACATAAATCTCAGAGATATCCACAAATGTTCATGGTAGCTCATTTCAAGTCGATTTTGTGAAAAAAGAAACCTAAGTTTAACATATCAATCAATTGCATACAAATAATGTCTAAATACCTGTTTTCTGGAAGAAAAGTGACAGAACGAAGATGTATTAAAAAAATTACCTGAACACACAAGCAGCTGATTTTCAAATTAATAAAATAATGCTATTTATTGCAAGAATTTACAGCGTACCAGTGAATGTGCAAATAATGTGGCATTATTGCCACAACAATGGCAATAATGTGTGTAACTACAATAAGGCCCAAAACTACAATAGCACGGTGCAAGTTGATGAAGGGGGAGGAGAGAATCCAGATGTAACGGGATTCCAAATAGCAGTGTGGCAGAGGGCAGAGCAGGAAAAGGTGACACTAAGGCTAGGGGAGGATAGACAGAGTTAGTAGATGAGCAGGGAGGCATACAAACATCATAATCTCTAAAAAGCAAAGTTCAAGCACATTACCACAAGGAGAGACTTATATTACAGGAGGTGAGTAGTAAGATCAGAAACACACATTGTATAAGGTGCTTCGTTCCCAATCAAACCAGATTTTCAAGGGATAGAAACAATGCAGAGCTCCACAAAAATCAATTACAACTGAGGAAAACCAAAAATGAAAAGTTTGGGAAATGAACTAAATAACAGACACAAAATACAGTAGGACTAGGTCATACAAGGAGCCAAAACCATGTCACTGCTTAAGTTTCCTCGTCAATCACTCATAAGATAAGATCTGTTTTGCACTTTGGCAACTTGACTGGACTTGAACTCTCTTGGATGACAGCTGAGACGTCTTAACATAGGCTTTAAACAACCAGGTCCAGTCTTCGGAAAACTTTGCTTTTACAATTCCTCTAAAAGCTGTTGGACTTATTTAAATTTTCTCAACTTTAAATGTTGGGTGTTGTTGTAGTTAGTCACATTATTTGCACATTCACTTGTACACTGTCAATCTTAGTGTGTACATCAGTTTCAAATTCAAATCCCAAACTAGTGGATTTAGAATATTTTCATAGGGGGGTTTAATCTTTTTCAGGCTGTTATATTTTAGCTGGATTACTCAGTAACTGTTGAACCGAGGGACATGGCCCAAGGAAGAACATATTGCAGTGGATCCAAGGATTAAAAAAAAAAAATACTCTTTTGACATGGCGAGAAAGGCCGCCATATTTATAATATAGCTTGTAATAAAAGGAATATATAAAACTTGGTCCCATTGCAACTACAGTACTTAATACCCATTTTGAATCTACAGTAAAATGATCCTGTTTGTAATCAAAACACACCCCTCTGCTTCTTTTCTTCACCAAACATCTTGTATAATTGTTGAGTGGCATCTGACCCCTCCTCTGTGTCTCAAACACTAGATATTTATTAACTTGTGATAAGCTATAGAAGAGGCCAGACATCCAGGTAGTGAAATAAAGTAGGCAATAGGTCTGACGTCCATAATAGGAAATTAATCTTGGGGCTGACAAAAATTAACTTTAATGTTAAATGCCGCTCCACCGTAGTTTCTTGCTCGTAACAGAGAAAACTGTATTCCCCCTGTTTCTCTGCCGCCAGGACCAAAGACTTGCAGGTGAAGCAGAGATCAGATTTTGATTGATTGATTGGGATTTTCCTGATGACCTGATGGATCATCACTGCCACCCAACCTGCTTCTCAGTTACAAATTATATTTCCTATATGCTGTTCAGTTTACTTCAGCGGTGCAAGAAGTGATAGTGTTGTGGCAATATAAAGGGACGTCTGTGTTAGTTAAAAATTAACCTCAGACACACTGAACAAGCCTGTACTTGCAATCCTGTACAATGTGGTTACACAATACTGTATCAACAGAACAGCTTTAATATCCACTTCAAACACAGATCAAAGTCTTCTCACACCAGAATCAGATTTATGGTCCTTATACTGCCAATAGATA